CTTCTCTAAATCAGAAAGGGTGAACCTTCTATAGTCCGTGGCATATTTGTTCCCCTCAACAAAAAAAAATTATTGAACAATTTAGTGCTACATTACAATTAATTATTTACTCTAATTTCACCTAATTGATTACCCTTTTATTTAATGACAATGAATCAAATGTAACTTAAATTCGAATTTAACATACAATATAAAAAATTAATGGCGTAATTAAAAGAAATCTTAATGGTTCCAATTTACCATAAATTGCAAGGCGTTAAAAGAATGAGAGCATCCCGTTTCACTTGAAAAATCATATATAAGAGGCTGTATGGTATTTTGGTGAGCATAAGGAGGAGCAAAGATGAATCCATGGGAGATCAGGTTGGTGTGGTTTCTGTCTGTAACTCTGGTTTTGGCTGCGGGCAAAAGCATTTTCTTTGATCCTTACACGCAAGTAATAATCTATAACGAATTGGAAAACAAGAAGGATCTGACAATCCATTGCAAATCCAAGGACGACGACCTCGGTGTCCATGTTATTTCTTACAAGGAATCCTATGATTTCCAATTTGAACCAAACGTTTTCGGTCGGACCTTGTTTTTCTGCCGCATGACATGGAATGGAAAATCACATCTGGTTCGACGTTTACAGGGAAGATAGGGATAAGAATTGGGGTTTGGATCACGGTTGCTTTCAAACAGATAAGTGCTTGTGGAATGTAAGGCAAAACGGTCCCTGTACGTGGACGTTTAGTGCTTGTTACCCTTGGAACACAAGGGTTGCTTAACAACTGGCAAAATCTACAATTAACACTTGTATTAACTAAAAACTCAACTACTGCTTTGCATGTCTACTGTGTTTTACCTTTAATTAATGCATTACCACACGAACACATAAATAGTTAGAAGTTCGTACCCATGATTTTATGTTAAAAACACGAACTTTTAAAATTTTAAGAAGAGACGACTTCCTCAAACAACCCCTTCGGCCCTTCGATCCATCCCTGCATCCTCACTTCATGAGAATCGTTTCATCTTTTTTTTTTTAATTGATTCATCATCAATAGCATAACACCTTTACTAATGGTTTATCTACAAATCTATGTTGGAAAATAAAAAAGAATGAAATTTTTTAAAACTTAATAGATCAAAAGTGCAGAAAACTATTTAAACTTGATAGTTCAATTCTTAAGTTTGGATAAGAAGATGTGACCACTTGCTTCTTGGCATGGAAGTTGTCTTCAAGGAAGACCGAGTCATTGCATTTTGCACTATTTATGGTTTTTCCATTCGTGTCTTTGAACCAGGAACTCTTTATTGAGTATCCTAAAAGTGTTCAGAAACAATTGTCCGAAAAGCTAAGAAATTGAAAAACTAAGACCTGAATTGTTCTTGTTCGTGGCCTCAAGGTTCTTGCTCTTGCAATTAAATACATAATTAGAACATATTCATATAAAAATTTACACAAGAAACTAGACACTTTAGATCATACAAGGAAAATATTCAAAACTCATCCAAAAAACTATCTCTAAACGTAAATTATTGAAAGACTACCGACAATCACAAATCAAAGTCGAGCGTGGTAACAAAACTATCTTCGAACATAATCTGCGTATATAAATCCAATCCAAGGATTCAAAGTAGAAAAGATCAATAAGATAATAAAATAAGTGTATCTTGATTAGCCGATGTGGTATCACATTCTACCCTGAGAAAATTCAACCAAATAACCAATAAAGAAGACCAAAACATACTAAAATGCAAAGAAAGATGTGTTAGATATGTAGAGGAAAGTGTATTATAGAGGCAGAGTTATTGGAAATTAGAAAAAGAAAAAGAAAAATGTAATACAAGAAGGTAAAAGAAAAGCAGAAATAAATGTGGTCAGTGACTAACATCAAAATTAATATCATTTTCTGCCAAAAAAAAAAAAGATCAAAGAGCAAGCGGCGTTATAAAGAAAACGTTATTAGGGTTTTATAATATATATTTAAAATAATTATATTTAATATTTTTAATTTAAAATTGTGTTCAAAATATTTCGCTCACCTTATAAATTATAGGGTAAAGTATACAAATGGTTCCCCATTATATGATACTGATTTATTAAGTCCTTTGATAATTAAAGTTACAACACGGTCCCCCGACTATAGAGAGTTGCTTTGTTGAGTCCATCGACTATTAAAAGTTATAAAATGATCACCTTATTATTCGTTATGTTCCAAACTTGTCATTTTCATCCCCTAGGATTTACTACATCTCATTTACATCCTTTTCTGACATCATCTACCACCACTCATGTGTTTACAATCCTTCTAGCCTCACAATTTCCTCCATTATTTTCCGTTCATCGTCTTCCACCTGAAATCCTAGTTTCTTGTTAAATTCCCTAGCTCTCCTAGCTTATCTAAGAATTACTCTTTTCTGATTACTAATATTAGAATCAAATAAAGAGCTGGGTTTACATACAAAGTTTCTAATACTCTAACTTTTTACTTTGTTTTCTAGACGCCTTATCCTTTTTTTTATAAGCTGCAGACAAGAATTTATACCCCATCTAGACGTGCACCTTCATAACATCTTTTTTCATCACCCAGGGTTTACTATATCTCATCTGCATTCTTTTTCCACATCATCTACCACCAACCCAGTGTTTACAATCCTTTTCTTTCTAAACTTCCAAGCTCTCCTAGCTTCTCTAAGAATTATTCTTTTCTGATTACTAATGTTAGAATTTGACAAAGAGCTCTCGTTTAATTTCAAAGTTTCCACAATTCCTAACTTTTTACTTTGTTGTCTAGTTGCCTTATCCTTTTTTATCAGCTGTATACAAGAATTTACTTTAAATTTCAGTCATGGAGTCATAACTTTTTTCATAGAACGTAGAAGCAACAGCCTTTTCCAATTCCATAAATGGGTGATCAAAAGATGGAATCACTATGCGTATCTTGGTGGTTGTTTATACGGTTTCAAAATCCTCCACACTGGTTGGTGCTTCAATCCTTCACTGAGGGCCTTGCCTGCCTTATCTCTCTCGTATCAGCCACCTCAGCAGGAAAAAGCATCCTTTCTTTTTCATGTATTGAGAGCCTTGCCTGCCCCATGTAATTATCACCGTCATTTTCTTCCTTTTCAAGTATAACAACATTAATTCCATCATCCTCAGTGGTTGACCGAAGATCAAAATTAAGCATTTTCCAACCGGCTTTCAATCAGAAATTCAGACTCCTCAATTGAATCCATTGCCTCTTTGGTCGTTTCAACCGGTGAATTCCACCTAAAAAGATCATGACCAGTTTCTGACGATATATCTGATAACCCTTTCTCCTCAATTCTAACATGAAACATTTTATCTCCTACCACCATATGGATCACTTCATCTACACGCCTTAATTGGGAAATTATTATCAATAAGTTGAGTTTTTCATAGCCGACATGATTGTAAAGTTGTCACCCAAAGAAATCAGCTATCCCCAAATTTTAGCAACCCTTCTAAATGTTGCATGGTTCCAACAGTGTACATGAATAAATTTAGCTTCTATCCATGCAACCCTCTCGCTCATTCACTACAAAGTTCTTTGATCACGAAGCAAGCTCGAAGAAGATCTCTCTCAGGTAAGACCAATCTTGTTTTCTTAATGCTTCATACTACTCGTCGTCTTTAATCGCGATGAGATAATACCTGCCTTTGATCAAAGCGAACCATTCTTTTAACAAAGAAAACCAAATTCTCCATAATTGTTCTAGTTTCCTCGTCATAAGAAATTATTTAGAATTTATAAGAGAAAAAAATAACCAAAAAGAAAACAACATAAAATATTACACCTACAAGAGACAAGATTTAATGTGGTTCAATTTTACCTAATAATCTCTCACTTGACACAAATTCTACTAGAAAATTGATCTTTGAATCTTAAATAACTTTAATTCTTATTTAAGTCAAGTATCTACCAACAAATTAACTACCCCTTATCTAATTAACAACTAACTATTTTAAACATTCCCTCAAATTAGCAGTTAAAAATGTCTTTTATACCTAACTTGATAGTTGTGTTGTTGAATTCTCAGTGCCTTGGTCATCACTTCAATAGTTGTTGTTTTACAGTCAATCGGGTCCATCACTCTACTAGCCTACAAGTTACAATTACAATAAAATATAACTTAATTTATAATTAGAATTTGAGTCAATATCTAACAATCTCTCCCTTGACACAAATTTCATTAAAAAATTGATCTTTGAATCTTCAATAACTTCAATTCAAATATCTACCAACAGATTAACTACCCCTTAACTAATTAACAACTAACTATTGTCAACATCCCCTCGAATTAGCAATTAAAAATGTCTTTTAGACCCAACTTGAAAATTAAGTAGTTGTGTTGTTGAATCCTTGATGCTTGGGTCATTACATCATCAGTTGTTGTTTTACAGTTAATCGGGTCCATTCACCCTACTAGCCTACAAGTTATCATCATGACCTTAGGCATGACACCAACACTAAAGGTTTGTATATAAGCCACCACACATGGCTAAAAAGAGGAGACGTTTCTCTTATATTCTTCAGATCTTTAAAACGAAACTACATTTATCGTCTATAATTTCTCTATGAAACCACCTCACTCACATTCATCTCTTTTCTATCTCTGTATAGGGAAAGGATAATTTGTTGCCGACCAACGATCGTCTTACAATGAATGAGGCTCTCTATCCAAATTAAAAGGGGTGAATTGCTTATATCTACCATAGACATATTTGTTATCATTAACAAAAAATTATCGAACAATTTAATGTTATATTACAATTAATTATTTTCACCTAATTGATTATCTTTTTATTTAATTACAATGAATCAAATGTAACCTGAATATAAAAATTAATTCCATAATTGAAAAAGATCTTAATGGTTCCAATTTACCATAAATTGAAAGGCGTTAAAAGAATGAGAGCAACCCGTTTGAGTCCAGAAAATCATTTATAAGGTTGTATGATATTTTTGTGAGCTTATGGAGGAGAAAACATGAATCCATGGGCGATCAGGTGGGTGTGGTTGCTGTCTGTAACGCTGGTTTTGGCTGCGGGCAGAAGCGTTTTCTGGGATACTAATGTGGAAGTCATAATCTATAACGATTTAGAAGACAAGAAGGATCTGACCATCCATTGCAAATCCAAGGACGATGACCTCGGCGTCCGTGTTCTTTCTTACAAGGAATACTATGATTTCCAATTCAAACCACACTTGTTCGGTCGGACCTTGTTTTTTTGTCGCGTGACATGGAATGGAAAGTCGCATTGGTTTGACGTTTACAGGGGAGATAGGGATAATGGTTGCTATGAATCAGATATTTGCGTGTGGAATGTAAGACAAAACGGTCCTTGTACTGAAATTTTGGATGTTTGTTACCCTTGGGACACATAGTGGTTCCTTAATCACTCTCAAAGTCTTCAATAAACACTTGTATTAACTGGTGTCGGAAACTGAAAACTCCACTGTTGGTATTTGAATGTGTTTTGTGTTTTACCTTTAATTAATGTTTTTATAATATAAACCGTAAAATCGGGGCGTTAGCACAGACTGAAAACATAAACAAATAAATAAACCGTAATAAAATCGTGTTGTGATGATCTACCGCCTTCAAAGCAAATAAATATGAATGAAGAAAAACCAAGAGGATTTTGGAGAAATAAAAACTTGATATCTAACTCTTACCCTTCGTATCTATTTATAGGGATATATATTTGATTACAAAGGAAAACAAAACAAATTAGAAATCTACTTTAATAAAGTTCTCTACTTTTAATCAAACTATGTTTCTTACTTTCCCAAATTTATATATTAATTAATTTATGTCACTTTGAATTCGAGTCGAACTTTAACATGCTTAAACCTAACCAAAGTTCCTAAAAAAAGTAAGTCTTTAGAAAGAGATTGGTCACTAGTCCATCGGCTTCTAAATACTGTAGAAGCAGAACCTGTGTCCTGAATTTCCTACATTAGTTTCCTCTAGCTCTTCTATTTTGCTTCATCAGTTGCATCTTTGAAATGCTCCACTAGCTTTCTAGGAGCCAACATTCCCATTGAGATTACCCCAACGAAAGGATTATTATCATCTACTTCGAGTATCCTGTTGGAAAAACACACAAAAAATTTCAACACAAGGCATTAGAACGAATGGAATTGCAAGTAAATTAAAAAAAGAACAAAAAAAGAAATGGGAAGTGATTAAAATGAGAGGAAAGAACCAGGTAAGAGTTAAAGGCCTTGTTGCAAACCCTGCACTTGTAGCTAACTTTTCCCTCTTTTGTACCCGGTGGTTGCAGGGTGGATGGAGGTGGTGGGGTGTTTGAAAAAAGTTGGAAACTATAAAGCTTCGTGAGTAAATTAGATATAAAATCATTGTTTAAGGACATTTTTGATGTTTTAATAGAAGTTTAAAGGTAAAATTAAATATTAACCTTTTTGTTAACAATTTAACAAGGATAACAGTGGAGTGACAATTTTATTATAAATCAATAATGTTAGTGAGCAATATGTTACTTTTGAAACTTCAATAAAAAAAAACTTACACAAATGTTAGTGACCGTTTGTGAAGTCACCCTTTATTTAATTACAACGAATCAAATGTAACCTAAATTTGAAAATTGATTGTGTAATTAAAAAAAATCTTATTGGTTCTAATTTACCATAAATTGCAAGGCGTTAAAAGAACTGAGAGCAGCCCGTTTCACTTGAAAAATCATTTATAAGGTTGAATGGTATTTGGTGAGCATAAGGAGGAGCAAAGATGAATCCATGGGCGATCAGGAGGGTGTGGTTGCTGTCTGTAATGCTGGTTTTTGTTGTGGGCATAGAGGCTTTTTGGAATACTAAACTGAAAGTAGTAATCTATAACGATTTGGAAGACAAGAAGGATCTGACCATCCATTGCAAATCCAAGGATGACGACCTCGGCGTCCATGTTCTTTCTTACAGGGAATCCTATGATTTCCAATTCAAACCACGCTTCCTTTGGAGGACCTTGTTTTTCTGTCGCATGACATGGAGTGGAAAATCGCATTGGTTCGACATTTACAGGGGAGATAGGGATGGGGGTATTGGTTGGGGTTGCCATGAAAGCGATGATTGCGTGTGGAATGTAAGAAAAAAGGGTCCGTGTACGGCATTTTTAATTATTGTTACCCTTGGAACACATAGGGGTTGCTACATAATATTGTATTAACTCCTTTTTTTTTTGATAGGACTTAAGACCTCGTTAAAAATCCCTTCTTGATTAAAGAGTTTTAAACAAACTCTTTAATCATCAGAAGGAGGAAAATAGTGCCTTAGGATTTCATTGAACATAAGAAATTGCCAGATACAACCAGAAATCCACCCCCAACATAAACAGAACACCAGAAACATTCGAAAATAAACCTAAAAATCAGCAAAAACTCTGCCTAATCCACCTTAGCTAGAACAACAGGCTCAAATAGGACTCACCACACTTAAAACCTAAGCTTGTCCCGAAAGACACCACAACACCAAACAACTATAATATAAGCCAAATAAAACAAACGACTCAATCCATATACACCAAGATCAACCACAAAGGCCAAGAGTTTCCACCTAAAACGGATGCAGAGGAGCAAGCATCGAATCTCCTCCTAACTGCCACATATTGCTCATCTTGTCGACGGAGAACAACCGGACTTCCAACTCCAAAAACAAAGATCATATGTAATTCATCTGCCAAAACTGCCACTGCCGTAATCATCCGAAAACAGAACCACTACTGAGCCTCCAGACTCAAAATCCAGATCTTTCCCTAACATTAAGGAGTCTGTCTCTACCTTCTTTAGATTCTGCCCCAATGCTGGAAATTCCAAATCATAAAGGAATCTGCCTGCAGGATCCTTGCTTTGCACCTTATTCTGTTTTTGTATTAACTCCTTTGATTAATACATCCTTTCACTCTCGAGGACAGACGCAAGATTTTATCCTATAAAGATAAATTTTTAAAATTTTAAGAGGAGACAAAACAAATTACTAATAGAAAATACAAAAATATTTAAAATATAAGATAATTTTGAATTTTCAGGGGATGAATGCTCACAACCACCTCATTTGATCTATCCTTGCATCCTTCCTTTATGAGAATCGTTTTATCTTTCTTTTTTTAATTGATTCGTCACCAATTTTTAAAAGAACTGTAAAGTATGGTTCGATTTATCTTTTATTGAAAAATCGAACCAAACCAAGTACATACCTATATGTTGTGGTGAATATAAAAAAATTATCAGGTGGACCAATATAAATATAATTAAAAATTTTGTCAAACATAATTTGTATATTTTTTTAATATTAAAATATAATAGCAACTATATATATTTAACGTGAATGTAAAAAAAATCTAGACCAATATAAATATTTTCATTTAAATTATATTATATTTCTTTTTTTTGGGTTTTTTAGACACGGGATGGTCAATGCCTCATAGATAAACCCCTGCGTATATTTTAAGAGGACAAACTTTTAAAATTTTAGGAATTGACTAAACTTTAAAATTCTAAAGGAGTAAAACTTAATTATCAATAAAAAATAGAAAGAAAATATCTAAAATATATAATAATTTGAATTTTCAAAGGGAATGACTGCTCCCATCTACCCCTTCGATCCATCTGTGCATCCGCGCTTCATGAGAATTCGTTTCATCTTTTTTTAATTGATTCGTCATCAGTAGCATAACATCTTTACTGATAGTTAAAACTATTTAAACTTAAATGTTTAATTCTTAAGTTTGGATAAGATAAGAAGATGTGACCAGGTTTCGCCTCATACTCAAATCAGGCGACTCAGGTTAGAGAATTTTCGAGGGGAAATTGCTTCTCTATCTGTTTTCAATCTACCAGAAAACCTCCACTATCAAGGGCTATGGCTTATTTTTGACAACTATGAACTAGTTGTTGATTCTTTCATCCCAAGTAAGAGAAGTAGAGGGGGTTTGGCTTTGTTCGGTTTGCTCGATTGGAGGATGCAAAAGGAGCTATGGACTGCCTTGACGGCTTTAGTATCCACGGCAATAAAATTCGGGTCGATATGGCGAAGTTTCAAACGCGAAATACTTTTTGGAAGAACAAATTTAGTGTTAGCAGCCGACTGAAGTTAAGAGTAGGGTGGACAGTAACCCTCATCCAGGGACTCATGTTGAAGGCTACATTGATGAGGAAAAGTTGTTAGTTCTTAAAGTTAGTCTTGTAGGATGGTGCAAGAACGTTTTTTCTGAACGACGCCATGTTGATCATCAACTTTCCCTGACCACCAAAAATGTTGTGTCACTCCTACCATTTCATTAAGCAGGGAAACGGGTAAGATGTAGCATGACATAACATATTGTGACAAATCTTGTGAGACCAACTTGATAAAGACCTATCTTCCACCATACGAAAGAAGCTTTTTAGTCTAACCCACCACTCGCGCCACCACCTTATCTAGCAAATAACCAAAATTTTCCATTTTATTTTTACGAATATGAAGTGGAAGCCCCAACTAATGACCAAGCTTAGGTATTCCCGAATTCCCAGATAGAAAACCAAGCGGTGACGATGTTGTTGGTACGCTAGTAGGATTGAAGAAAATCACAGATTTATCAAAATTAACCTTTTGACCTAAAGATTGCTCGTACACATGGAGAACACTCTTAATGCCCTGCGCTTTATAATAATAAATGGTAATATTGGTGAGGGACCAAATGCCATTGAAGAACACTTAGAAATCAGTAAAATCATAAAGTGTGTGTGCATATTATAAGTATGGGTTTAAAAAGTTAAAGCCTTAAAGTTAAATTTGGATATGATAATTTAAGGATTCAAAAAAACCTACAAATTTAGGGATTCAAATAAGGTAGTGAACCCTAAATCCTACTTTGATATCTTTGTTCGTAATTGAATTTGATTACTTTAAATTGATGGATTATATGTTTATTGTGTAATTTTGGAGTCCATGTAAAGATAGGTTGAACCCTCAATGCTTTGGTCATTACATCATCCAAATGTTGTTTTATAGTCAATTGGGTCCATTCATCCTACCAACTTATGAGTAACCATCATGACCTTAAGTCTTATTCATCTCTTTTCAATCCCTGTATATAATTTAGGTTCTTATATAAGTCACCACACATGGCTAAAAGGAGGAGGCTTTCTCTCATATTCTTCATATCTTCAAAATCAGACGACCTTTATTGTATGTAATTTCATTATGGAATCACCTCACTCTCATTCATCTCTTTTTTGTTTTCGTATAGAGACATAACTTTTGATACTAGTCAATGCCCATTTAATCATCGAATGTAACTCTTTGCTGAAATCATAAGAGGTGAATTGCCTATAGCCGTCGTGACACATTTGTTCTCATAACAAAAAATTATCTAACAATTTCATGCTATATTACAGTTAATTATTTACTCTACTTTCACTGAATTGATTATCTTTCTATTTAATTACAATGAATCAAATGTAACCTAAATTCGAATTCAAAATACATTATAAAAAATCAATTGCGTAATTAAATAAAAATCTTAATGGTTCCAATTTACCACAAACTGCAAGGCGTTAAAAGAATTGAGAGCAACCCGTTTCAGTTCAGAGAAACCATTTATAAGTTTGACTGGTGTTTTAGTGAGCATTAACAGGAGGACAAAATATGAATCCATGGGCGATCTGGTGGGTGTGGTTGTTCTCTGTAACGCTGGTTTTTGGCTACGGGCAGAAATGTGTTCTATAATCCTTATGATCATGTAATAATCTATAACGATTTGGAAGACAGGAAGGATCTGACCGTCCATAGAAAATCCAAGGATGAATACCTCGGCGTCCATATTATTTCTTACAAGAATCCCTTGAGTTGTATGCTTCGCAGTCTTGAAACGAACTTTAGTCTGTTTACCAAGAACATAATACTTGCAAAAATGGAGCTTACAGCTTTTGACACCATGCAATAAATTTCTTTTGTATAATTCTGCCATATCACGTTCACTAAGATGAGCAAGACGCATATGCCACAGTTTTGTAGTATCATCACAGGACTCAACAGAATGAACTCGACCTACAACAGTACTCCCTAATAATCTGTAAATATTCCTTGCAGTCATCTTTCCTTTCATAAGAGTCAAAGCTCCTTTAACAATCCGAATAGTTTCCCTATCCTCACAGCCTTAGGGATAAAATCATTCTTGTGCAAAGTGCCCAAAGAAATCAAATTCTTCTTCAAATATGGATATGTCGAACACCACTCAACGTCCAAACTGAGCCATCATACATCTTAATTCTGACATCACCAATACCAACAATATTGCAACATCGATCATCGCCCAAATAAATAGAACCAGAATTAACCGATATGTATCTCGAAAACCATTCCTTATTTGGCGTGGTGTGATAAGAACATCCAGAATCAAGAATCCAAATATCCGTCAATTGAGTCATTGAAATAGAGAGCATATCACCCTCACTGCAATCAGAGTTGTCATCCTCGACCACATTCACAGACTTGGACGAATCATCACGCTTCTCATCAGTCTGTTTTTTCAACTTCGGACAGTCTCGCTTCATATGTCCCGCCTCCTTGCACTTGTAACAATTAATTATCTTCTTATTCCTAGATTTGGATCTGGAATTCCGCTTGCCAGACTCTGCCTTCTCTGGCTTCCGTCCACGGTCTTGATTACCCTTGACATATAAGCTATCGGCTTGAGAGCTTTCCCCTGCATTCTGCTTCCGCTGGTTGTGAGCCAACAAGGCTGCAGTAATCTCCTCAACGTTGATAGTCTCTTCCCCATATGTAAGAGTAGTCACCATTTGTTCGTAAGAGAGAGGTAACGAACGCAACAGAATCATCGCTCTGTCTTCATCCTCAATTTTCACATCAAGTCGAGCCAAATCAGAAACGATTTGATTAAAGACATTCACGTGTTGCACCAAATCATGATCATCCTGCATCTTCAACCCATACAGTTGCTGCTTTAGATACAGTTTTGTCGTTAAGGATTTGGAAAAAAATTGACTTTCCAATTTCTTAAATTTCGTTTGGAAACGACAAATGCATGACGTGATACATGACCTCGTCCGCCAAGCATAATTATATGATTTCAACCACTCGCTGTTGCAATTCTTCCTAATCTTCCTCCTCCATCAACGTCGGCTTTGTAGGTTGCAAAGCCTTCAGGATTCCTTGCTGCGCCAACAAATCCTTCACCCTCGTTTTCCATAATCCGAAGTTACCC